GAGACAAGCAGGTGATAGACCCTCCAGTAGACAAGTTTCACAGTGCATCTTTAAGCCTGTTTATGAACAATGAATACCATATGCCTGCACTTGCACTACACTGTTTGGATGACAAAAACACTTGGCTATTTATAGATCAAAATCATATTACTAGTCATATCTTTTACCGCCATGCTATAACTCTTCGTAGTCTGTATTCTGCAGTTGCCATCACCCCTTACTCTTTCAACATAAGTAGGCATTTTTCATTCTGGACTTAAGCACACTCTCCCATTAAAGCATAATGTTTGTCAAAGTTCATTCTGGGCTGACATGTCACTGGTTTTAACTGTGCCGTTTCATGGGCTCGTGTGTGAGAGGTGATGGCATGAAAATGATTGATTTCTTCACGTGAGGGACACACAAACACACTGTAGGAATGATATGGGCATACGAAGAGGAGAGGAGGGGAGCTGTGCCCGAGATGGATGGCAGTGCAGCTTTGTCTCCGACCTTAAGCAAAGCGCAAGAGTCCCATTCACAAAGAGCTATATGCCAACAAGCTGATGGATTAAATCATGGCCAGACATCTGTGAAGTCAGCACTAACACCACAGGGAATGATATACTCCCAGCTATAGCGTACACCTTGCATCCCTAATTCACTCTGGGAGGGGCTTCTATTTTAGCATCAGCTGAAATAAGAGCTAGAATTTGGAAGTACTATATTATGCAATGGACTCTTATGGCGTGTTTGCATGTTTTCGCCTCATCAAAAACATACCTGGAGTTGTGTTTTGTTTCATTCACACATGTTTTATTATTAATCTGTCTACATCTTCAAACCTCAAAATGCTCTGTTCCACCTTGTGATGTCATGAAGCTGCAGTTTTCAAAATAATAGCTACCGTTTACTTTTAGTTCAGTAGAAACGGGCAATTCCTGGGCTGAAATTATCCAAAAGATTGTAGCGAAGGTGTATGGAGTTTAACATCACAAGGTGGAACTCAGCCTAAATTCATTTTTCAATCTCAGTTTCAATTCAATTCAATTTTTGATGAGACAACAACATTATAAAAAAGACCAGAAAATACTGGAATATGGGCCTTCACCTGAGTAGGCTGCTTTAGTATTCTCACAAGGAGGAGTATTTTGAACCATCTTTGACTGATTCCAACATAATTTTGATAGTCATAAGCTTCATTGTATGTATGGCACTGTATCATGTTAATAGAAAGGTGAAAATTCCGTGCCATAAACCCTTTAATATCGCTAATCTCCAAACTTTTTATAATGTGTAATTTTCTTCAAACCCAAATCAATTTTCATTTTTTGTTCCTAACTGCAGGAACAGTTTCTATGTTTAGCATTGATTGTGATCATTTTCATACACTTCAGGTAAATAAAGTGCCTATGGCTAAATGGCTCCCGAAGTCATTCATCTTTAAATTTCCATTGTTCTTATTTCAGACAAGGAGCTGCCAGTCAAATGGAGCTTGGGTTAATGTAGAAAATACCAGTCCTCCAGCGCAAACTGCTCTGTTTATTTATCTATTACATATTTTATACACCATTTAAAGTTGGTTTACAGGTGAATACAAAAGGAAAGGCTACCGTAATGTTCGGTAAACTACACTCTGCTTCTGGGGAAAATTCTTTCACATTTGAAGAACACTTTGTACTAAAGAGAAGCTGGAGTATTGAGCTTGTTTGATACATTCTGTTGCAGCATTGTATTTCAGAAAAGGCCATTGTAAGCTTTAAGGCAAAAGCTAAAATAAGGCAACCAGTTACTCTTTTCTCTCTTTTTGGAGACTCACAAGTGAGCAAAGATTTACAAAGGATCACTTTTCTTTTGGTGAAAGGCAATTTTAGTAAGGTTGATTGAAATCATTTTAAGTTTATATACAGTTTTTGAGTCTTATTCCTCCTTAAAGCAACCATATAAGATGGTGGGGGTCTGTCACCTGCTTGTTTCTATGGATATGCCACCGCTCTGTTTGGAATGTTCCACAGTATGACATTAAACAGCTCTACCTTACCATTTATTCAATTACAGGTGATTTTATAGCTCAAAAATATCTGGAAAAACAGGCATTCTGACAATGAGCATGGTCGCCTCTCCACAGATCAGGCCAATAACTTCGCCTGGTTTTGTCTCCATGAAAATAGAAAGGTTTAATACCATACTGTGAAACATTTCATACAAAGCAATAACATCTCCATGGAGAAAAGCATCTGACGGACCCTTCACCAGAAAAGTTACACAATGCACCTTTAGATTTCATAAATATGACCTATCTGTGTGCCCCTTCAAATCAAATATAGTAATGCCGATTTATTTTTAACATTAGACATGATTGCCAAGTGGTTTATCCTATGATTTGGTGTTTTGGTTCTCAAAACAATTATCCAATCAGAAAGAAGAATGAGCCTCACATGAGCCGCTCATTTGGGTTGCCAGTTTCAAAGCTGAAATCCAGTGAGTTGAAACCTAAAATCTCTCTACATAACCCCCAGCACCTGCAGCCAATCATCAATCATCAGAGCTGGCACAGCCCAGGCTCTGGTGTGATTGTGATAGTTTTTTCAGTTCAACCAATTTCTAACATTAGCTCCTGAATAGTCACATCATATCAAGTTATATCATTGCCTAAAACCCAGACTTATTGTTGTTACTAAAATAGTGTGTTTTAATCTTAAGACACAACAACAGCTTGCCGGCGTGTCTGCTCTTACAGTGCGTGAGCCGCTTTGCCTCTCCCGCAGCTGTGTACTGTCAACAGCCGCACACTCGCCATCTGCACCTCACCCAGCTCCAGTCTGAAAGCATGTGTCAAATCAATGAAGCACTGACGAATGAGGAATAATTGGCGTGACGAGTAAACCATAAATTGTTCAACCTCTGCTGTCGTTTTGCTTTAAGATGTGCGACGCATAAAGTATTGAGCGATTGTGCGTGATTTGCCACAGAATCAAAATGAGGTTTAAAATGGCGTTAATTGGAAAGGGGAGGAAATCGAGTGTGTCTCATCTGCCCAAGGGTGGACCAATATGAGGTCTTGGGATCGAGAGTACACACTTCTCTAATACTTGATGATGAGTGAGTGATGATGTGAGTCTGGTCACCGTGTATCTCCCTGTTTTAAGATGTGCATGATTGACAAGTGGAGTAGCCAATCGGAGACATGCATGGTCCATCCTGATCAAAATATGGTTGCTTTGAAAAAAAAAAATCACAGGAGACTGAATGCAAACCACTGAGAGAAGCACTAAACTCTCTTAATCTTGGATAAGAGAAATTTTATTTTGTTCTAAATGAGTGACCAGTGAGCTCCTTCATTTCACGTGTCGCTGAAATAAATGGGGAAGTATCTGCTGATATCAACCGATCGGACAGAGACTTAAAGTATAATTTATTTCCTTTAAACAAAAATGCATACTGATTGATTGATTTGCAAATGGATTTCGTAAATACTGAGCTTTGTAAAAATGCAAGTTAATATCATGAGATGTTTGGGGCCAACATTAGCTAGTAAATCATCTCATTACACCAATGTATAGACCAAAATAGCATAATGGTTGGACTGATGTCTTGGCCAATATCCAATCCACCAAAATTTGCAATATCAACGCCAATATCCAATACTAGTATTGTATCAGTGCATTCCAAAAAATAAACCTGATTGACGGCTCAGTTTGAATCTAGCTCGAGACACAACAGAAAGCGTGGTGACCAGACTGACGTCTATAAAAACTGCATACAGATATCATACTGAACTCACCAGGCAGCCAGTGTGATGGGGACAATCTCTCAATTCTTTAAGGAGAAAGGCTTGTTGGCCATTTGTTTCTGGTGTTCCACTTTCTGAGCGAACCAATTATTTTCAAAAATTCAAGGGACGAGAGTGGCGCATCCTTTTTAGATCAGTGGATGTGTTTTGGCTTGTAGAGTGTGAGGTGGCTGGCGAAGAATCGGTTTATTTTTAGCTGCGTTTATGTAAGTGACTAACATGTTGTGGAATAATGAGGATGCTCTCTCTGTCCCCGGTGGAGTTGGAGGAGAGAGACGGGACTCTTAAAGCAGCAGATAGTGATTGAAGGCAGCTAATGAGTTAGTGGAGAAAACGGACACACACACAAGCGAAGGGTGGATAATCAAAGCAAGGAGGTACAAAGAAAACACAACAAATGCCAATGGGAGGTCTCTGTCAGTGGATACAGGAGCAGGCTGATGGGATGACATTGAGAAGGCAGGGAGTGTGGAAGTAAGATGAGGAAATATTTGAATGTTCATTTTTGGGGGGAATGTTAGGGAAAATGATGTGAGCAAAATAAATGGAAGAGCCCATTACTTCTTTACTGTGGTGGAAGATGTGCTAGTACATTTATTAATTAACACAAGCACTCAATTAATAGTAAAATGGTAAAGATTTACTAAAGTAAAAGTATTTAAGTGCTTATTTTAAACATAATTAAATTAAAAGTAAAACGGTCTAACTCTGCACACTCGAAAGCTATTTTCACAAAGGCTTAATATTACATTGTTTTTCTATTTCAAAACTGCTTGTTATTTTATTTTCTTGTCAAAGTGAAAATGTAACTTGCTACAAAGGTGAAATTTTGCCTTCCATTTGCTGCACTCAACTAGAAGAGAGTGCCTCTGACCTTTTTGACAGCTTTTTAAAATTTTGGCAAAGTAAGTTTTTTATATATATTAAAGCATGGTCATTCTCACTGTTTGTTAAAAACTTGCTACTTTTATTTCAGTGCAGTTAAAATGCAATGGAATTAAAAAGTAAATCTAAATTTAATAAAAGTGATTCATGTAAAAATACAAAGCGCAACTGTCCACCACTACTGATTTACAACAATTATCCTATTAGCATTATATCTTCTCTCTAGCTTTTCAAAGCAGACATCCCCATTCTCACTCTCCTTCACACACACACACACACACACACACACACACGTGCACACACAAGCACGCATACACGCAGCGATCTCTAACTTCTCTGGTACCTCTTCTCAGGAGGTGGCTCCTGATTGGCTGCTGGGGGCGGGGGTGGAGCCTGTGTCGTTTCCTGCAGGTCAGGGATATTGGCAAAGTCATCTTGCTCAGCCACACCTATGGCCAAAGCCAGGACCACCAGCTTCCCTTCACTGGTCCCCACAAAAAAACGTAAACAAAACAACGTAACAAAATAGAATCGAGAATGACAAACCAAAAGTATAAAGGAGGTGTGGTGCAGGGGGAGAGAAGAAGAGACAGGTCATTTAAGGTGAGGACACATAGAACGAAAAGCATCAGGACCCCAGCAAAGCTCTTGTCCAGGGAAGGATATTATCAAAGAAAAGCACTTCAACTGAAAGGCCAGATTAATATAAGGTGTTTTAATGAACAGGTGGCTCTGTTCACTTTACACAAAACAAATGATTAAGTTGATTAGCCAGTCAGCTCTAATGAATATGATATTCAGCTCCACATATTCAGCTCCACTCTTTATAGCGCCTTCATTTATTATCAAGTTATTTAGTGTTTTTATTCCTATACACCACTGTACTGTCTCCATCCAGGCTTGAGATTTAATTACGCCTGATTATAGAGATCTAGACTAATTGTTTCTATTTGAGTGACAGTATCTAGAGGTGCGCCGTGTGTGTGTAGCCACTTTCTGGGTCACTGCTCCCTCGTCAAATCTGATCTCCCCTCCTCTCCTTACCCCCTGTACCCTATACCCCAATCCCCATCCCAGACTTTGAATTCTGTACTTCCTACTTCCCACACCCCCTTTTTCTAATAGCCTTAAGCCTCTCACTGTGCTACCTGCCATAGCCATAAAATATGACACCGGGAGGGGGAAGATAGCAGCTAAACTTCACAATTTCATCTCCTGAATACAAGGCACATAAAAGCTTTTCAAGGTGCGCGATGAAGCCTGTTAGGTAATTTCCACCATAACAGTTCTTCTATAGGATCTCTCCAACAATATAAAGCTTACAGCCATAGCTTTAATATGGGATCTGTTCTCCTATAATACCTCTTACACTGGTATTTCAGAAACAAGAATACTGTTCAATCAATACACAGGCACATTAAAGCCCTATATGATGCAAAATTGCTTTTAGCCATGTTATCATGTTGTTCCTCATAATTTACACGTTTAAGTAACTCTTTATTACAAGTCTGTCTACATCGTCAAAGCTCAAAATGCTCTGTTCTACCTTGTGATGTTATGGTAGTTTTCATGTTAACAGCTTTTACTTTTTGTTTAGTAGAGATTGGCAATTCCAGAGTTGAAATTATGAAAATGATTCTAGTGAAGGTGTATGGAGTTTAAAAACACAGAGAGGCACTTCCTGTATTATTACATGACATCACTAGGTGGAGTGTTTTCTGTCTGAGAGAAGATTTCAACCTAAATATGCAGAGTTTGTGTGTTAAACATGCATGAATGAAACAAAACACAACACAAATCACAATGTTTGTGATGAAGAAACAATATTATAACATACTAGTAGAAAATATCATAACATTGGCTTTTTAAGGAAGCAGAAATAAAAATGGTTACACATCGTGATGAATTATTGAATACTGTATAAAAGAATAAAAAAATTATAATAAAAGATCAATCTTATCCAAACTATAAGGTATGACATTTCATTGTTGACACTGCTGGACATGTGTGGCAATTGTAGCCAAAATTAAAAATATACAGGCTCCCACAGTGGCTTTTGCCTGTTACTGAAGAGACCATCATCAATCAAACAAGCTGCAAAACCAAAACACTGACCTCAATCCAGTGTTTGTAGTGATGAGGGCTGTAACCGCTCTAATATAAGGTATAATGAGCTCTATACACCCAGTGACCTTGGCGTCTGCATGTGCATATATTGAGCCGTGGGCATTTTAGTCATTGTATGTGGTTAAATACTGGGAGAATTTTAAAAAGAGGAAAGATATGAGTAAAAAAAAAAAAAAAAAAAAAAAAGGACTGCAGCATATTAAAGTTGCACTGTGTAACTTTTCTGGTAGAGGGTCTGCCATCTTCATGTCTCTATCATAGAGATGTTGTTGCTTTGTCTGGAAAGTCCTGGTATTAAAGGGAAAGTCTGGAATTTTGAGCATAGGACCTCATTTCCTAGTTTGTCAGAGTATTGGAGACATTGGAGACGTTTAAATATTCCTTCCAGTCCTTGTATTTGCAGAGGTCGCTGGTGCTAGGATAGCGCACATCAACCGCCTTAGTTAGCCTAGTCACTAAAAACAGTCTTACCCACTCCACAAAGCACCCGAAGCAAAACAATTATAATCAGACTCTCAATGTGAATGTCTATGTCAATAGAATAATTTTAGAAATAAAACCAACCTTGCATTTGAAGAATTTATGTCTAAGCAGCAGTGAGTTGTACTTTCTGACAGAATGCTTGGTAGCAGCGGACTGATATCACCTAGCACCTACCTTACAGGCAAAGTAAAATTCTGCTGCTGCTGAGAAAATAGTCCTTCAACATGTGACGATTCATGCAAGGTTTAAAGTTAGTTTTATTTCAAACATTATGCTATCAACACAGACATTCACATCGACAGCCTGGCGTAATAATAGATTTTCTTCAGGTGCTTTGTGGAGTCGGTGTCTCCACACGTCTCCAACACTCTGGCTAACTAGGAAATGAGGTCCTATGTCCAAAATTCCGGACTGTCCCTTTAAACATATTTTGCTTAATCAATAACATGGATTTTTAACTAGCATTTTTACTGTCAGTGGACTCGCTTCTCCACTGATTTGACATGTAACTTGGCCCTGTGGCGTCACCTGCTGTCTCTGTAGAGTTAAATAAGTGTAATGCCATATTGTGAAACATCCAGGCAACATCTCCATGGAGAGAAACTGGTGACTGACCTTCCACCAGAAAGGTTACACAGTGCAGCTTTAAAATATAAGTCTGATATTCTCCAACCTTCCCCGATTTAGAACACATACCTAGAGTTGATACTCATTCTGTCATTCTTTCCTAAATGTCCCTTATCAATACAACGCATATGTCCAAACACCTTACTAAAATGGTGCCAGTTAACACAATTAGCTGCTTAAAGATTCACTATGTAACTTTTCTGACCTATCATCTATAATGATATACCATGCCACATCCTTTTCTAAAACTTAAAGGGGTTCATATCGCACTATTTTCTGATCTATGTTATAATGCTGTTCCCTCATCAAAAACAAACAATGCACATTTAGGCTGAGTTCCTCTCTCAAAACAGAAAACACTCCACCTTATGATGTCATGTGGTAATACAGGAAGTGCTCCATACACCTTCACTAGAATCATTTGGATAATTTCAGCTCTGGAATTGCAACTGAACAAAAGGTAGCTTCATGACATCACAAGGTGGAACGGAGCATTTTGAGCTTTGGAGATGTATAAAGACTAATAATGCAGGATTGCTCAAACATGTGTGAATGAAACAAAACACAACTCTGGGTATGTTTTTGATGAAGTAACAACATTATAACATTGCTCAAAGCTCACAATAGTCCATTTTGTGTAATATATGACCTTTACCATTTCATATATCTGTAAATATAACTATAGCAAGTTCAAATCCTCAGGAAAAAACAACACATTTTGCTGCAGTTGAAGGTGAAGTCCGGAGGCAAATGAAGCACATGGTGCCCTTGTCCTTTCTCTCATTTATTTGCCCTCTCGTCTTTTGCCCCCAGTAACGAAAAGCACTGAACGTAATGGCACCGGTGACATAAGATCAATGCTTCAGGGTTAACTCAAATCCACACACAGATGCTTAACCCTGCTCCAGCTGGGCCAATGCACAAGCCAGCCAGAGCGTACATGCTGCAGATACAAGTTAAACCAAGAGAAGAAAGGTGCAATTTTAGTCACAAATACTCATGAATTATGGATTAAACTGCATTAAGCCTCATAAGCCCGATATTTAACAGTCATTCACAAGACAGGTTCAGAAATTGCTTCACGTAATTGAGTGGGATAGCGATGGATTTGTAAAATGTATTTTGACTTCTCGTGACACCAGCTCATGAATACTGGAGAACTAGCAGGGACTATACTAGCTCAGAGCATTAAAACAATTGAAGAAGACAGGCCGAATACCGTCAGAACAGATGTTACTGTTTAGTGGAGCATGCACCGTAAACATTAAGCAATTTATTACAAAATGGGACAGAAATAGCCACAATATGTTCCTCAATCGGTGCCATATTTGAGACGGGTGATGTCATTCACTTTAAAATGGGGGAAAAGGGACAATCACTCTACCAAGAACTAATCTCTCCATCACACATATTTAATTTATTCAGCTTTAAATGAGATTATAATATAAAGTCTATTTGAAATCCTATCTCTAATGGCAGCTAATAAACAAAATCAATCTTGCTAATACCCCATAAGACTATCAATGTCTACAGCCCTGATCCATCTCCCCCACAATAAAACAACAGGTTATTTACATTAATAAGCTCAGCTTTATTAAACAAAGTAATTGAAGATTAAGGCCCTTATATAATGCAACCTCTGGCATCATTATTTAGCTACGCTTTATCACGCTATGCCAGACAACAAGTATTACGGACATCTAACTTGTTGACAGTTTTGAAGTGTGGAAACGCATTAATTAAACTATATGTTAATTAGGTTCACAATATGCCTGCAGTAATAATGAATACATTTAATATCCTTCCCTGGACCCACATAACATGACGCAACAACAAAACAATAATTGACAGTGGCAGGTAAACTTTCGCACTTTTTCAGATAAATAAATAAGTAAATAAATAAAAGTTAAACCAACTCACATGAAGGATTTAACATCAAGTCCTCTGTTTCGAATCTGGTCCATGACATAGTCCCAGCTGCCGGGGTTGGCTCGTGAGCGCCCTCCTCCGGCTCTGTACCGGGACGCTCCAGTGGTGGCTGTGGTGCCCCTTGCCCCCCTCTGAGCACCTCTGCTACCTGTCCCCCCGCCTTCACCTCCTCCCCCTTTTCCTCCCCCGCCCGCTCCTCTGCCTACAGCGTCCCCATGTGGCGCTGTGTGCAACTGGCCCAAACTTTGTGATGTAGTTGGCAGGTGTCCCAAACTTGAGTGGCTGGACGGATGAATGAGGGGCTGCTGGAGACTTTGC